GAGAAATAGACTGTCAAGTGACGTGAAGGAAAAATGAAGGAGGGTTAGGGCAGACAAGTGGCAGGAGAGAGGGATGGTGTGGTCAGGGGTGGTGTCATGGAGCAGAATGTGCATGCATTGAGGGAGTGGGGACTTGTTTTTTCCAGCTCAGCAAGGTCACCTCCTGTTCATGCCCTTTTTGCCCAACTCCTGAAGGCACTGGTGTTTTTGACCCCTAAAAGTTTAAGTGAATTATATACAGCTTCTAAGTAAACTATTGTTTTGAGCTGAACATTTAAACTCGATCTTATCAACTACTTCTGGGAAAGAGAAGCGTATGTAGTAAAATATTATTTAGCTACGCTAGAGATTGCTATGTTTATGATTTGTCTGGTAATTTCTCAACTCTGTCACCAGCTGAAAGATAGGCAGTGGTATGCTGGTAAACGTTTAACTAGCAGCTCTCTTAGGACTGGGGAGGGGGAGAGTCCTGATTTGTTGCATTTTCGTTTCCTTTGTATAATACTTTCATCATGACTGGTTTTTAAGCTACCACATGGTGTTATTGAACACAGAGTGGGGAAGAGACACATGTTGTCATCTCTTGGGAGCTTGTATGAACTGCTTCCTGCACACCACTGAAGGGGACTTTATAATCTCTGTTATAGAGGCCAGAATACTAAGATTCAAAATAGTTACAGGGTTGCACAATTAGTGAACTGCAGGCAAGTTATTGTACATCTTGAGCTCCTAGAGATCCTGATGTACTTGGTTTGGGCTGAGAACCTGGCATGAGTGCTTATTTTAAAGGGCTCCAGTTGATTTCCTTGTGAAGCCAGAGCTGAGGACAGTTGACTCAGTGAACCAAGAGTCTTTTACGGTACTCCCTACTGTCTTATAAGAAGCCTCAACATTCATTTTCCCAGTAGATTATAGTAGGAAAGGAGCGAGACAGGCAACTTCAGGGACAGAATAAAGTCCATGTGACACATTTCAGGACACAGTAAGATAGTAAGTTCTTTTTTTTTTTTTTTTTAAGAGACAGGGTCTCTCTATGTTGCCCAGGCTGCTCTAGAACTCCTGGTTTCAAACAATCCTCCCTTCTCAGGCTCCCAAAGTGCTGGGATTACAGGCATGAGCCATGGCTCACGGCCCACAGTAAGGTCTTGGTTTACCTTGGGACTTCCAAAAAGGGACAAAGACCTGAAAATGGAACTTGCCTCCCATTGGATTAATACGCAGGGGCAAAGAGCCGGGGCCTGGGCTGAATGGGAGCCAGGAGAAGGAGCTGAGAGAAGCCCAGCAGAAGGCAGGAGCCAAAGCATATGACGGAGTAGGCGGTTGGGTCTCCCCTTCAGCTGTCATCTCCCATCTGCACACCTGGACATGGAGGCTGATTCGAAGCTTGGGGTTTGCATTCAGGCTGCCTGGGACAGTTCCATCCCTTATCATCTTTAAGACCTGAACGAGTGGTTTGACTTTTTTAAGTCTCAGTTTCCTCATCTGTAGGACGGGGTGACAATGCCTATACATCATCAGGTTGTTTGTTCTGTAAAAACTCTAAGGAGTGCCAATATTTGGAAATCAAGCAGAGGACTCCTCCATTTAGCCAGTAAAGAAGACAAGAAAGCCGCAGGCGGTGTAACAGAACACCAGAGAAGAACGTGTTACAAGGAGAGCGTGGGCCTCCGTGTCAAAGCCTGCCAAGGGTTCAGTGCACACGACAGAGAAATGCTGACTGGATTTTGGCAAGGAAACGTGACTCAGTAGTACCCACAGCGTCTGTGGAGTGATGGGAAAGATGTCTGATTAGATTGGGTTGAGACAAGACTGTCTCCGTGTCTTCAGAAATTGAGACAGCAATTACAGAACACTTACAAGAAGTTGGGGGTAACGGGAAGTTGAAAAATGGAGCAGCAGTTGGAAAGGAAGGTGAGGTCAAGGGGGCATTTTTTACACTTGGGGTATTATCACGTCTGCTTTTGAGGGGAATGATCCACCAGAGACTAAATGATACAGAGGACAGAGGGGATGATTTCCAGGAAACTGACAGATGAAGTCGCGGAAAAGATGAGAGGGGAGGGGTTCCAGGGCCCAAGTGTAGAAGTTGGCTTCCAGGGATGCTTCATCCATGGAACGGTAATGGAACAGAGCACGTGGGTATATAGATGAAGGCAGGTGGGTTGACTCGGTGGGGGGGAGAAGAGGGAATTCTTGTCCTATTATATCTGTCTTCATGATGAGGCAATATTATCAGTTGAGAATGAGGTGATGATCGCGCAAGGCAGTACATGAGGTCGATTAGTAAGTTAGGATATTGAGGAGAAAGGAGAGGGCACGACATACTGAAGAAGAAAAGACTAGGAAGACCCAGGAGGTTAGCTGGCAGTGTTCAGATCCCACGAGAGATGAGTGGGGAAGAACTTAAGAGACGCACGAGCTTGTGTATCCATTAGGACAAACTAGCTTTTCTCACAGCAACAATAACCCCTAAGTCCGAGTGACTGAACATAACCAAGATCTATTTCTTGCTTATATGTCAAGCCCAACAAGGGCTGGCGAGGGGCTTTGCTCTTTACCGTCTCTCAGAAACGCAGATGTCAAAGACATAAAGGTAAGGTAACAAGTTAGCTTGCCATGGTGATGGAGATGCTGGCAGCAGATACTTCTGGATGCGAGATGGCCGATTTTGTTACAGCAGTAGCAGTAGCCAGTGCCAGCATTTGTGTCAGTTCTCTAAGCCCCAGTTCCCACAGGGAGATGCAAAAAGTGCCAAGTGACACCTGTACCACAGTGGTTTGTGTTGCAGAAAAATCCTGTGTTTAGGGACCTCAGATCTTTTGTTATGGTCAGTAAGCATGCCCTTTGCTCCAGAGAAAGATATTATATCTATCTTCCAAGGCTTTTCATTATGCAGACATCCTTGAAAAGATAAGAACAAAGTCGGTGAATGCTTTTGCTTGTGAGTGTGCAGAAACATCAGAGAACTATGGAGAATTACCTTCCAACACCAAGTTGATGGCTTCTTGGGTTGACAAGGCAGGGGAAAAGAGACCTGCTGACACAGGGACTTTTCACGGGCTCAGCCTCCAAGTGACATGCCATCACTTCTGCTTTCAGCCCACTTGACAGACTTCACCTACTTGCATCCAACAGGATGTCCAGACCCAGACATTGATAAACACTAGCAGTGTCTACCATGGCATGGTTGTATGTTTTCCTCTGGTCCCTTTTAGCTGTTCAGGTGCAGAAATGAAGCAAATGGCAGTTGGGTTTAATCTCAGAATTAGGATTCTGACCAACTGGTCTAATGGGGGAGAAGAGTGGTGAGGAAGGTAAGTGTGTTTGAATAGAAGTGATTTCATAGTTGGACCGTGTGCTCCTGTATGAGTGTATCCACCAATATTCATGTGTTGAAACTTAATGGCTAATGTGATCATATTAAGAGGTATGGCCTTCAAGAGGTCATTGAGTCTGAGGGCTCCAGGCCTATCAATGGGAACAGGTGCCCTTATAAAAAGGGCTTGAGGGCGTGAGTTTTGACCTTCTGCTTTCTGCCATGTGAGGACACAGTGTTTCTCTTTTCTGGAGGGCACAGCAACAAGGCACCATCTTGGAATCAGAGACGCCCTCACCAGACACTGAACCTGCTTGTGTCTTAATCTTGGACTTCCAGCCTTCAGGACTATGAGAAAGAAATGTCTCTTCTTTATAAATTACTAAGTCTCAGGTATTTTGGTATAGCAACACAAACAGACTGGCAACATGGAATCGAAACATGGCAAGGAGGGAAGTAAGGACACAGAGGGTTAAAACGGTGGATCGGTTTCTGAGGTTGCAGGATTTCCGGTGAGCTGAACGGGTGAGAAGTTGTGGTCAGAGAATGGAAATCTTAAGGTCAAGATTCCAGAGACAGTGCAGTTTAGGTGATGATCAGGTCAAGAGTGTGTCTCTGAAACTGGATGGGAGAAAGATTATTGCAGGCGAGGGAGTCAGGGAATTCAGAGGTCAAAGCATTGGATTAGCTATCTATGAGGAGACTGGCATCACCTGGAATGGTGGCAGAAGTGGGCATAGGAGAAATGTGATCCAGGTGGCAGAAAGCATGACCAAGTAAATCTATGTTTATTTGTTAAGGCTGCCATGAAAAAGTACCACAGACTGGGTGGCTTAAACAACATAAATTGATTTCCTCACAGTTCTGGAGGCTGAATCAAGGAGTTGGCAGTGTTGGTTTCTTCTCAGGTCTTGTTCCTTGTCTTAAAGACGCCTGCCTTCTCCCTCTGTCTTCACATGGTTTCCGTGTGTGTGTGTGTGTGTGTGTGTGTGTGTGTGTTTGAGAGAGAGAGAGAGAGAGAGAGAGAGAGACTGGTGTCCTATTTTTATAAGGACACCAGCCATGTCAACTTGAAGCCCACCCATATAAATTCATTTAACCTTAATAACCTCTTTAAAGAACTTATCACCAAATATAGTCAGCATTCTAAGGTGCTGGGGGTTAAGATTTCAACATGTAAACACTGGAAAGACAGTTCAGCTCATAATAGCCCGTATCTCCTCAGAAGATACTCCTCAGTCCTTGATTGGTTTTGGCATATTCTGAAGGGTCTTTGGTCAAAACTTGAGAAACACTGAATGTCATGATGGATCATAAAATAAACACACAAACCAGTAAACAACTTGGGCAACTACTTAGCAACACATCTATAAGACCTCTCTTGTGGTCCTTTCTTTTCGGAGATGGCCTGCTGTTGACTCTACTTCACGTCCATACTGATTTTATTCCCTAGTGTTGTGCTGTCCCCTGAGACAGAGCCTTCTGACTCCCCTGTTTAACTAAAAACTCAATAAATCCTGGAATCTTCCCTCTGCTAGCGAATACTGCCTGCCATCTGCATGTGTACATGTATGTGAGATGTAATGTTTACAGTAAGTGCGAATTCACTTGTATGTCTTTTCTTTAAATGAGAATAAAACATATTTATCCCTTTTAGCCTTTGCATGTATATATCTGAAAGGCTATGTTTTGTAGCTTTGTTCCCACGGGCCCGGCATCTGCACAGAGTTCTGCAGACAATTCTATCTTTGTAAGCTGTGTGGAGCATTTGGACTCCTCCCTGTCTAATCTTGTACAAGCTTTTGACAAACAATGTCCCCTGGGAAGTTCGTGGCCACCCTCTGACCTCCTAAGCCAGACACCACATTGCTGACTTCATGGTGGCCCCGATGAATAATGTTTCAAGGGTGTGAAAACACTTGCAGCATGAAGGGAAAGTGGAATCTGGATACTGTGGCTTTATGGAATATTGAAGCAAAGTTCCCGTATCCTAAATAGAGCAGCAAAATGTGCAAGACTCAAGGGCACTGTTTCAAGTTGTTATACAAGGTTTGCCACTTGAAATGTGCTTTCTGTTTGGCCTCCTTAAATTCCCTCGCTCATTCTTGCTTGCTTGCTTGCCTTCAGCACTACCAAAGGAGAGAAGCTTTCAGAATGCTGCTAAAAGCAATAATCTGGATCTTATGGAGAAGCTGTTTGAGAAGAAGATTAATATTAATGCTGTGAACCATGTGAGTAGAAGTCACACACACAAGTGACTGTTCTAAGTGGTGGCTTGGTTTTGCACAGGTTGGCTGTAATAATAATACAAATAAAAATAATTGTGCTGGCTCAGAGGAGGGAGATCTTTGTGGGTCATTTCGGGGTGTTTAAGCTAAGGTGGGATCAAGCAGTGGAATAGGCCGCGGGTGTTTAATTTATCTTCCAAGAGGGGAAATTTATCTTCCAAGAGGGGTCTCTATGCACATCTGTGGGCAGCAAAACTGGTTCTCAGGGCTGTGGGCCCAGACTGGGTTCTGGAATATAGCCCATGGGTCCGATTGGTCTCAAAGTTTGGAAGGGCAGAACATCTTTGGCTATCCAATCTGGGTTATTTTCTTTCCAACGATGGCCTTTGTGGTTGCGTGTGGATTTTCATGTGACTGCTTTTGAGAGTAGAGAGGATCTGCATGTTGGGCAACAAGGCGTTTTGTAAACCCTGGCTCTGACTGATGCTTCACACACCCAGGTTTTGGGGGATAGGTGCTCGGCCCGAAGTATGGATTCCCTCTGCTTGGTTTTGTGAGGGTTTCCTGACAGCTCCTTGGAGCAGATTTTGTCAAAGTGAACAGGTTGGGGGCTGTGTCCGTTGCTGAGGACGGTTTGTAGAGAGGTTCAAGGTGAGCATGGCAGAGGCGGATTTCAAGCTAAATGAAGCCTAAGCTTCAGGGCCCTTGACTGTGCAGGCCCCTACTAAGGCACTGGGAGGGCCCTAGCAGTATGTTCCTATGGTCATACAGTTTTGTAACATCTGAAAAAGTAAGACATTTTAACTGTAATTGGTTATGCTTTCTGACTCTGGCTTTAAAGAGGGCCCCTAAATAGTCTAAACTCGGGTTCCACAAAACCTGTATCTGTCCCAGGCAGCAAGTCATGGAAGGTGAAGCGGGAGCATCTGAAATCATGCACCACATGCAGTGGAAGATGTTGAACAATTGTGTGTGTGTGTGTGTGTGTGTAGTGAGGGGTATGTGTGTCTGTGTGGGAATTTATATGCCTAGGTGTATAATATGTGCGTGATATGTTATGAGTGTATATAGTATTCATGTTCCATAGATATCCTGGGAAAAAACAGCAAAACTTTGTAGCACAACAATTTTAGGTCTCAAAAAAACAAGGAGAAGGAATCAAGAAAGGAAAAATGGGAGAGAAAAAATGAAAACATGGAATGGAGGGAAAAGAACAGAAATAAGCAAGGATCTTTGAAGGGAATATTTGCATAGTTTCAAAACTATTGTACTTATTTTTATTATAAAGATGGGGGTACAATTCAGGGTTAGGTATGCAAACATTGATTATGCAGGTACCCTTGTGAATGAGGTGTTCCCCTCCCTCCCTAGCAGTTTCCCTCAACTGCCAATCCCACCCCCCGACAGTTTCCCACTACTGCCAATCCCTTTCTTATTGCATTATGATAATTGTTCAAGGTCCGCTTATGAGTGAGAACATATGGTGCTCTGTTCTTTGTTTCTGTGATAGATCACTATGATCGACTCTAAACCCATCCAAGTTGCTGCAAAGTCCCTATGTTTGTCCTTCTTTATGACTGCATAATATTACCTTGTGTGTATGTACTGCAGCTTCAAAAATATTTATGAGCCGGGCTCAGTGGCTCAGCCTGTAATCCCGCGCCTTGGGAGGCTGAGGTGAGTGGATTGCCTGAGCCCGCGGGTTTGAGACCCGCCTGGGCCACTTGGCGAGACCTCATCTCTACAATAAATCAAAAAATCAGCCAGGCGTGGTAGCGTGCGCCTGTAGTTCCAGCTACTCGGAAGGTGGAGGCGGAAGGATCGCCGGAGCCCAGCGGGTCAAGGCTGCGGTGGCCGGGAACGGCCACTGCACTCCAGTCTGGGCGACAGAGTGAGACTCCAACTCAAAAAAAAAAAAAAAAAAAATTATGGATGTATATCTCTGAAGATTATTATGGCCATGGAGGATTAATTTTGAGTAAGTGGGGCAATAGTCACTTTTCTAAGTAGTAGGAAATGGATTCTCCAACATACTGTTTTAATCATTAACATTTTCCCCATACAACTTTTTGATATTTTAAACCGTGCTTTACATGAAAATACATGGAGAGATAGTCCAATCTAATACACCTTAACTTACAACGTGGCAAATTATTGCAAACGCCTGATGAATTATATTATACTTTCTCATCGTACCTGTCTTAATCCTGTTTACAGCAAATTGTAGCATAGTTACTTGTAGAGCTCCTTAAAATCTGTGATGAAAGAGAAGGAAGCCTAAATGGTTTTAATGAATTATCCTGGCTATTTTGACTTGCATCCTTATTCACAAGTCAAGTTAATAGGGGCGCTTATCGTCCAAATTTGATATGGTAGAGCAACGCTCTAGATTGCGGACGATGTCATAATAACTCATGTTTTTTCAAACTTATTTTACCAAAGATATAGCTATTGTGAAAGTTATCAGAATCAAAATATATATTTTGATATTACAAAAATCCTGACAAAGGGAGCCAGGGAAAGACATGAAGACAGGGTTGTCATGCTTGTATACATGATTTAAAAAGACAGAAACAAACAAAAAACCGCCACAAAGGCTGAGGCAGAAGGATCATCTGAGCCAAGGAGATTGAGGCTGTGGTGAGCCATGACTGTGCCACTGCACTCCAACCTGGGTGACAGAGTGAGACCCTGACTCAAAACCATAAAAACAACAAACGATCACAAAAGATTGCAGAAATCATAACCTTGCACAAAGGCTGTTGCAACCTTTCACAAAAATACTTTGCAAATTGATCTGTGCAGCAACTGCCTGTCCAACCTTGGACCGGCGTCACTCTTGTTATTGATCTTTGTAGCCAAGGATAATTATTTCAAAACATTTATGTAACCCTCCTCATTTTTTCCTTTAAAAACCTTTGTCTTCCTTTACCTCCTTGGCTATGCACATAGTTTACTATGTGTATTCCCATTGCAATGCACTATTTTAAAATAAATATCTTTTAGACAGCCTCTCTCTTATTTAGGTTGACACTACCAAGGAAATCAAATATTTAATTTAAACAGTTCTCATAACTTTATGATTATTTATGTGAAACAAAGAATAGTAAAGCCATACCCAGATATGTTCTTTGAGATTAAAAAAATGGTGTCTAGAATATATGAAATATGACATGTGTGTTACTTACAAGCAAAACTTCCATTGTTTGAAATATATTAGACTGTCTCTGGGAATCCCAAGAGCACCATATTGACTTTCCTTTGGAGCCAAAGACATTCATAGTTTTCTTTCCCTGTCTTTCTCTGTGTCTTTCTTTCCTTCCTTCCTTCTTCCTTCTCTCCCGCCCTTCCTTCCTTCTTCCTTTCAGAAGCAATTTATTTGCTTTAGTAAAATTCACAGTACAAAAATTACAGGATGGATTTAACATCTAGGAGAATTTTTGCTATGTATTCTAGTCCAAGCAGAAAAATTTGCCATTATTAATGATTATATATGGGTCATATATAGCTTCTACTCTCTAAATGAAATCTGCTGTGTTACTGGTGTCAGGGTTTCAGCTGGAGGTATGTCCTTCAGTGGATTACCAAATCGCTGATGTTATCTGATAATGAGGACAGGATTCTGCTGTACACAGTTCCCACAGCTTTTAAAGGTAAAGGCAAAAAGTGGAGCCGAAATCAAAATAGAAACACCTGATAGAAAATTATGGTCATTCAAGAAATAGGAAACCTAAGCGAACTGACTAAGGATCAGATAACTAAACACAGAAATTCTGTTTCCTTGGATGAACCGCACAGCCCTGCATTTTGCTGTGGGGAGAAATCATTTATCTGCAGTGGCTTTTTTGCTTAATCACAAAGCCAGGTGGATGCTACTGGTGAGATAAGCCCATCTTCATTTGTAGAATGGGTTGGTGCATAACTGATGAAGGGGGAGAATCTGATCACTCCAGGTATCTTTTCTGCACACAAAATATTTCCATTTGGCAGAGTTCATTTTGGAAAACTTTCTTCAAAGGGTACTTGTATTTTGTGATCTTTGTATTTGGGGACTAAATTATTTTCACATTACCTGTAGAATTTGAACTTTTGTTTGTTTTCCTGTGTTGACCTTATGGCCAATAGTATGCATTTATAAGAGTGAGATGGTTGCCAGAGTATAATCAGGGACACGGAAGACAGAAACTAACTTGCTCCAGGAACATGAAATCTTGACTTTACCCTGTGAAATCTGGTAGTAAAAAGACCTATTAAACTCTACTGAGTACCGGGCACACGTCTTAGGACTCTGATATTTAGCTTCCCCTCTGACCTATAAGAAAGGTATTTTTATAAAAACTAATTTTCAGATGAGGAGCCTGAGACAGATTAAGTGTCTTGCCCAAAAAGTTAATTTTAAGAAGGGTAGAAGCGGGATTTGAACCGAGCTTGTCTGATTCCAGAGATCATCCTGCTAGCTATAAATCAGCTTAGCCATTCAGCTGCCTAGGTTTCAAAACCCTCTCAGAGGATTTTCACTTACTTTCCCCACCTTCATTTACTATTTGACCATGGCATACGGAAGCCCGCTGGAGCGAGCCGGCATCATGTTCATTGTCTCACGTTGCCTAAGAAGGAGATGGCCTTGTTCTTAAGTTCTTGGCTCTTAATCAGTCCAATGGACCATGCATGATTCTTGTGAAACTGCTCAGAAGATTCCTGCCAAGGTGCTGCGTTTTTCCCCTGGACTGTAACTCCCTGGAGGGTGAGGCTCAGCACCACTTGACCTTCACATCACTCAGGGTCTGGGTTTAGCGTATGCTTACTGAATGTTTGGAAGATAAATCCGTGAAGCCTACGCTATCTGGTCATCTCTTTGGTTTTGTCAGCCGTCATAGACAAGGCATAGACTTGGTAATGCTTAGAGTTTCTCTTTGTGTCACCAGGGGGGCACATCTGTCTCTACTTTATTGCACTGGTGTTTGTGGGCAAGTAGATTGTTATGTAACGGAACCAGAATTAAAAACTGGCGTTAAGAGTGCTCTGACTTTGTGAGTGTACTTAGTTGTAGTAGTGGTGATGGTAGTTAAGGAACATGTCCTTTGGGTCTGGAAATTGTCATTTAATTATTTTGCAATAGAGTAAATCCCCTACATATGAACCTTCAAGTTGCGAACTTTCAAAGATGCAAACATGTGTTCACATGTCCAATCACATAAGTTAGTTCTCGTGTCTGGTGTACATTGTTACTTGCACGCATCCTAGATAAGTGGTTGTGCTTTTGTGAACTTTTCCTGGTCCTCTGGCCAGAAAGCCAAAGGTGCAGTCTCCCAGTTCTGCTTTGTACTTCCCTCAATAGGATCAAACATCGTGAGGGTGAAGCGAGAAAAAAAGAAACAGGATTCGCCCTCCATTCCCCTCCTGGCCACAGTTCCTCTGGCCAGAGAGAAGGAGGCCTCAGGGTCAGAGTTGTAGGTGTGTGTCCAGCCACTGCTGCTACCCTTGCTGTTGTGGGGTTGCAGCTTTGGGAGTGGGGCAAGGTTGGGGGCAGGGTCAGACCAGAAAAAAGAAGAGGAGAATTCCCCCCATCTTCTCTTTTCTATAGGGGTCTCCTCTGCTTCTTAGACTAGAAAGAAGGCTTTTCATGGCACTTTCTGTCCATGCTCAGGGCACAGTTCCATGATTTTTGCTGCTTGAAGTCCAAGTTGGAAGGCATGGAAGTAAAAAAACAAAAAACTAGAAAACCCTGAAGGATTGTTCATCGTTTGAGCTCTGATTTCCTTCCCCAGTCCACCTTCCTACCATTTACAGAACCCTCAGATCGCTGCTTCCTGCATTCTTTTCAGATATTTTAGTTGTATTTGGTAGGAAAGATAGAATGTGCTTACTTCCTCTTAACCACAACTATAGTCCAAAATCTTTAACATACTACCAAAGTAGAGAGAATAGTCCAGGAAACACCTAGGTATTCATTGCCTAGACTGGATAGCATCTTTTGTTTTTTGAGTTGGAGTCTCACTCCGTCGCCCAGACTGGAGTGCAGTGGCCCGCTCACGACCACCCCAGCAACAACCTGCTGGGCTCCGGCGATCCTCCCACCTCAGCCTTCCAAGTAGCCGGAACTACAGGCGCGCACTACCACACCCAGCTAATTTTTTTTTTTTTTTACTTATTGTAGATACGAGGTTTCACCAAGTTGCCCGGGCTGGTCTCGAACCCGTGGGCTCTGGCAATCCACTCGCCTCGGCCTCCCAAAGTGCTGGGATTACAGGCTGAGCCACTGAGCCCGGCCTGTATCTTCTCCTATACAAACATATATTTGTGTTATCTGCAGCATGATTCTGACTTCCCCTTAATTTTTCCTTGAAGATTGGAATGCTGTCAGATGAGATGTTATTCCTGCTATATCTCCTTTCCCTGCTTTGAATGTTTCACTAAGTTGAATATCTTTATAATGGATTTAATCATTCACGGTGGCATTAGTGCATAACTAGTAAAATGGTTTTCATAATTCAAGCAGTGTCATGTTTGGTCAGATCCGACAGCTTTTTTTTATCTGAGTGACGAGACTTGAGTTTGATTTGGCAGATATATCTTCTAAATTCTGACACCCATTTGTAAAGAACTAACAATAAAACCTGCAATGCAGCAACCCCAAAGCTGAGAGGGCTTGTGCGTAAGATGCTTTACATATTCCAAAGAAGTTACCCAGAGGTCCAGCAGGGATAGACATTGGTTTACTAGAACTTATAGGAGGCACTGATGTTTGCTGGTCAGTAGGAAATAATATGCCCATGAGACACCTATGGCAGTTGGTGGGTGAGGAAAGAAACTGCACTTTGGGGCGGGACAGCAAAAAGTTTTATAGGCAAGCAAGTCAGTTCTTCAGATCCCTATCTTGTATCTACAATTACATTGATTACACTTGGTGACCACATTGCTTGCAGCTTTGCCTGGTCACCTGCACCCTGTGAGTCATTATTGGGAGTATGCCTATCCTTGGCCAGAGGCCACTCCTGAGGAAAGAGGGAGGGGAAAATAGTCCACGTCTGGCCCAGACCCTACAAAACCCTTTCACCGTAAATATTTATTCAGGCCTTTTGGTCTGTTTTACAACCATGTGTGAAGCCAGATTCAACACTGCTGAATACAGAGCCTTTGTTTGTAGGGAAGACTAACTTAAGAGGTGGAATTGTGTTCAGGGCACATTTTTTGAAGAATGTAACTGGTCATCACACATCACTGTTCCTGGGGACAAACAGGGGAGAAATTGCTGTGAATGTTCTTCATGCTGGAACTGTAAATATGTACATGGGCGCATGTGCCATCTAGTGTGACAACTGAAATGTAAATTTGATAGGGCACGTACATTAAGAGCAGGGCATCTCAGCAGTGACACTAGTGATATTTGGGGCAAGATAATTCTTTGCTGTGGGGGCAGCCCTGTGTGTTGTGGGATGTTTTGCAGCATCCCTGGCCTCTACCCAGCAAGTGCCAATATCCCCCAAGTCATGGCCATCAGAAATGTCTCCCCACATTGCCAAGTGTCCCCTGGGGACAAAATTACCCCCGAGTTGAGAACCACCAATTTAGAGTAACACTTTGACCATCGGAGACTTGCTATTTCACTCTCCCAACTTGAATTCTACTGGATCCATTTCTCAGCTGAGGCTGAGAGTTGACCAAGATCCCATCACTTAGAAGTGGTAGAGAGTGACCAGGAGTCGAGCTCAGTTCCGTCTGATCCTAAAGACGCTCACGACACCTGCCTTCTACTGCTTCTCTGACTTAGGGCCTAGATCCGCTTTTCCCCATTGACTTCCCTCCAACCCCCCCTTTCCGAGAGAGCTGATGTGAACCGCTGGCCACTTTTCCTTCCACACTTCTCTGCCTGCTTCCTCAGCATGCAACTTTATTCAGCACGCAGCTGCCCACAGCTTTCCCACAGGTCAGGAAGTCCTGATCTGAATCTCTCAGTCTAACTACCTGATGCCTTCATGTGTGCATGCACACACATCTATATCATTTTGAATAAGTGGAATATTTTAAAGAGTTTCTCTATAAATGGGGTCCTGCCGGGTGCTGCTCATGCCTGTCACCCCAGCACTGTGGGAGGTAGAGGCGAGAGGATTGCCTGAGTCCAGGGGTTTAAGACCAACCTGGGCAACTTGGCGAGACCACATCTCTATAATAAGTCAAAGAATTAGCTGGGCATGGCGGCACATGCCTGTAGTCCCAGCTACTTGGCAGGCTGAGGTGGAAGGATCACCTGAGCCCAGCTGGTCAAGGCTGCGGTGACCATAACTGTGCCACTGCACTCCAGCCTGGGCCGCAGAATGAGACTACCACTCTAAGTACATAAATAAATAGGATCCTTTTTATAACTTGTCCTTCCGTTTTCACTTTTGTATGCCCATCCTCCTCTAGTAACTACACTTAATAATCTGAGATACGTGTGTTTATTTCTAGACTTTTCTCCTCAGCTAGTCATTTCTGTATCAGTCTATTTACTTACCTCCCAACCCGCCGATATACAGACATAGATATATGCATATACACACAGGGGGTTTTTGTTCGTTGTTTCTTTTTAGGTATGGGATTCTATATTTATTTGTTCTCCATCTAATTTTCTGCATTCTGTGAAGCTCACAGAAATCTTTCCAAGTCAGTGGTTATAGCTCTAATTCATTGTTTTTAATGGCTGCATTATATGGCATGATTATTTCGTAATATATTCAGCATTCCCATGCTGATAGGCATTCACCTTGCTCTCCCAGTTTTTAGTGTTACAATTAATATCCTTGTATATATAACATCAAGTCCTGAAATTTTATTTTCACGGGCTGGATTCCCAGGAGTAGGACTGCTGGTTGTATTTTCATTTTTAAAATTTTGTTTATTTGTTTGTTTCCTTATCTATCTGTTTCTTGAGTCAGGGTCTCACTCTGTCACCCAGGCGGGAATGCAATGAGTGGCACGGCCATGACTCGCCACGGCCTTAACCTCCGGGCTCAGGCGACCCTTTTGCCTCAGCTTTCTGCGTAGCTGGGACTGCGGGCATGCACCACGTGCCCCGTTAGTTTTTTACCTTTTGCTTTTGTAGAGACAGGGTCTCGCTATGTTGCCCAGGTTGATCTTGAACTCTTGGACTCACGCAGTCCTCCTGCCTCTGCCCCCCAAAGGGCTGGGATGACAGGTGTGAGCCACTGTGCCCAGCCTGTATTTTCAGTTTGAACAGAGGGTTCCAGATGGTTTACATAATAATGATTTCTATTTCCTTTCTTTGTCCATTTTCCTGTCAGTTTACATGTCTTTTTCTTGTTGATTTATAAAAGGGCTTCATATATTAGAGAATCACTATTTTTCTTTATCAAAAAATATGTTTAAAAATTATTTGTTTGACTTTGTTTATTATCTATCTTTTCTCTTGTAACTCTGCATGTTTCAGTCAGCATCTTGTTCTATTTATTGTTTGTGTGTCTTTTGTGAGTGTGGTATGATACAGCACTTCATTTTATTTTCTTTTAGATAGAGAACCACTTGTGCCTGCAACACTCATTAAATATACCCTTCCCCCCACAGAGTTGAAATATCACCTTTGCTGTATACCGAACCCCTTATTTCTTAATTTTTGGCAAGGTAATATTTGCTTGGCTTTTGTGGGTGAGATGGTGTGCAATGGCGCATCCACGTGACAGATGCTCTTCTTCTCTCCTCCTGGGGAGGCACGGCTTGACTGGAATTCATCTTGCGGCCTGGTCTGGAGGCCTCAAGATCATGCTCATGCTGGTTAGAGCTGGAGCGGATCCGAGAGCTGAGAGTCAGGTCGGCTCGTGGGTCAGGCCTGAACGTGAGCTCCCACCTCCCCGTCGCGGGTGAGTGGAGGCTCTGAGGTCACTGTGTGAGTGTCTCCTCCACCCTGGCTCTCTTCGGGATGGAATGAGTGCCCTCCACTTTGTCACGCAGAGCAGTCACGTGCCCATTGCGGAATACCTCATTCAGGATCTGCGCCTGAGGGACCTGAACCAGCCTGACAAGGTGTGTTGACTGTGGCTGTCAGGCTTGCATATACCCCACCAGTTCTGCTGTCTTCCTGTGCCTGTTGAGTTGCCAACATGGCCAGCACAGACCCTGTGGCCAGCTCCTCCAACACCATGGCAGACCGCAGGGAGTGGGAAGAAAGTGGCAGGGGGAGGGGGGGTTGGCCTTGTCCTGGCCACCACATGAGGGGATGACAGGACGTGCTGAGGAGGCAGACACAGTCCCTCCTCCCTTACCAATCCTCATCCTGGCCGGGCTGTGGACAGCCTGCACCCCTTTAGTATTCAAAATGTGGGCCTTAATTTTATTCTGTTGCACTTGGCCTTTTTGGAATGTATTTGACCCAAAGCTATACTGTAATGAGCCATGGAATATCATTCAGTCTTTCTGTATTTGTCTATATTCCTTTGATTTTCATAAGGAGATACTTATAATGCCAGCTACTACTTAATGAGTGTTTATTAGTGTGCCAGATACAGAGGAAAGCTATTAATATACACTGTTTCAATAAGAGGTATTGCACTAGCACCTTCAGATAAGCAACAAAATCATTGCCGAATGAATGAATGCTCTCATCAATCCTCACAATAATCCTATAAGGTAGAAAATATTTTGCTCATAGTTAGAGGTGAGGAAGTTGAGGCTCAGAGAAGCTAAGTACCTGATAAAAGTCTCAAAACTAAATGGGGACAGAACCAGAATTTGAAGGCTGGTCTGGCTGGCTCCATCCATGCTATACTCAGTTGACAGTGGACATTGCCTGTGTGTCAGGGGCTGTCTTTCCCTGGAATATCTCCCTCTATGCTTTTTTCATTGAGTTCTAGCCTTCGTGCAGTTGGCATTTTGCTTTCTCAGCAGTAGAATATATTTCGTGGAGACATACTTTCCTTCATGTCACTAGAACACAATTTTCCACGAAAGTTTCTCTAGAAGCTGATCAGTAATATTCACTTTATTATTTTACCTCTTAAAAAATTTTTTTTTCCTAACCTCAATCTTAAAAGCAATGTATTAGTCCATTTTGTGTTTCTATAAAAGCATGCTTGAGGCTGGGTAATTTATGAAGAAAAGAGGCTTGTTTGGCTCATGGTTCTGCAGGCGGTGCAGGAAGCATGGTGCTGGCATCTGCTTCTGGTGAGGGCCTCCGACTGCTTCCACTCAAGGCAGCAGGTAAAAGGGAGCGGGTATGTTCGTGAACTGGTCATGAAGGATTCACCTCTATGACCCAAACTCCTCCTACCAGGCCCCACCTCCAGCACTGGGGAATCACATCTCAACATGAGATCTGGAGGGAACAAATGTCCAAACTATATAAAACAATAAGAGCAGCAGAAAACGATTCAGATTAGACCTATAAGCTTCTACTTCCTTTACATATGACTCAACAACTGTACACTTACAGCTTAGAGGCAGACAGACTTGGGCTGTGGTCTAGACAGTGCCACTATATATTAGCGATGTGACTTTAAGCAAGTGCACCAAGTGCTGAAAACCTTAGTTTCTCCATCTGTACAATGGAAATAATAAAATCTACTTCATGATAGCAATAAGGGATAATAGGGGAGATCTTATTTGCCATATGATTATTTTTTTAAAATCAGCAAACCTCCATTCTTTGATATGGGCACTTGATATTTCCTCAGTCTCATGTAAAAGTTCCCACGCACAAGAACTTCCCAATGAGCCATTCCATACCTGCCGTCTGTCAGACACCACCCCTAAGCCATTCCTGTGTACGGTGCTGGAGCAGCCACTGTTGAGATGCTTAAATGAGGAAATGACTATAATGCACTTAGCAAAGAGTTAGGCACATAAGTGCTCCCTAAACGGTAATTATTGTAACAATTGTGATAGGATAAAATGTACATCTGATTTCCTTAAACTGACCTTCGTAGTCAAATACCACGTAGTATCAGGGTAAGGAAGTTGCATCTTTCCAGTTTTATACGTGCTAAGTAGGAATGTGGCCCACAGACGAATTCCATTCAGTTCAGTTCAGCAGATATTTGTTGAGGGCCTGTGAGGCAGGAGACACATGGTTGCTCCCCCCTCACTGGGCTCTGATTGTTTTCTTGGTAAACCACAGTGTGGGAAGGATCAGGCAGGCTGATGGGCTTCAAAGACCAAAGCAGATTTATGAGGAGACGTCTCCACTTCTTGAGCTTCTGCTGGCTAGCAGCCTTCCTGTCTGATACATCTTTTCAGCTGATTCTGGGTTCGTCTTGGACCCCCTTCCTCCTCCTCTCTCTGTTGGGGAAAAGGCTGAGGACCTCTGGCAACAGACTACATAGCACTACATGTTCAGGTGAGAGCTCTTAAACTAAGATGAGTTCAGAACATAACAGGAAGGAGCAAATAATGACTTCACTGGGTCATCTAGGGTAAGAAGACTCTGAGTCTAATTTTAGTCCTGTAAGAAAACTGGATTGATCCGTAGACAAACAAAATCTACTTTTTTCCCCTAAGATCTGTGAGTGGGCTCAAGTTTGTAGGCAAATCTAGTTGGAATGGTGGTTGCCAGGGGCTGGAGGGAAGGGGAAGTGAGGAGATGGGGAGCTATTGGTCTAATGAATGCAGAATTACCGTTTTGCAAGATGCAAGGGGTTACGGAGATGGATGGCAGTGATGATTACACAACCATATGAATGTTCTTCATACCACTGAACTAAATACTTAATGGTGATCAAGATGATAATTTTATGTTATGAGTACTTTGCCATAATTTTTAAAAATGGGGAAAAAATAGCCAGTTGGATTTGAGATCAGGAGCTCAGGGTGTATTAATTCAGCGTTGGGTTTCCCATCTTTTTGCTTAAAGGTTTTGTGGAGTTCAAGGAATACACCTGATGGAAAAGACTACGGCATTTCGCTTGCTTAGTTTCTTATCATCAAAAAGTAATCGAGAGCCTGTTTACCCACCAGGGCAGGTAAAATCCTTCTCGTTGGCCTGGAGGGAACTCCAGAAGCTAACAGGGAAAGCTCTCCTGGGAGGAGGCACTTAAAGCAAAACAGGTTTCTCTGGTCCCAGGAGAATTTGAGTGGGGGTAGGAGAGGTGAAGGACACAGGAAATCTTTTGAGGTTTCTCCCAGCTCCAAAGCTCTAGAGCTCACGGAGGCCTTTTTATAGGACCAACAGTTTCATATGTCCACTGTGCGGTAACTGAGACAGTAGGGTTTGCAGCAGAGAGTTTGGTGACGACAGGGCTTGGAGCAAAGGGATGGAGGGAGATCCTCAAATTCATCCATCCAGAGAGCAGTTGACCTCATGAATAATGCTGAGTGTGCTGCAAGTTTGGTTTATTTTCTCCCTCTCCTTTCTTCCCTGATTAATTAATTAATCCCCCTGAGGAGTTCTGGGCTGGAGTTTTCAAGGGAATTGTGGAAGGTGAGGGGTTGGAACACTGGGGCCATTGACTGGTCAGGGTAAGTGGGATGAAATCATCAGGATGTGGAAACCGTATTCTTGGGTGAGTCAGCTTTTTGTGAGGTCCTTTAGGTCAGCTAGAATTAGTGGGGTCCTTGGACCAGCTGACATCAGTAGTTTCATCGGTGTTCAGGACCTGAAGGAATATCTCAAAGGGAAATCTTAATGTTTTATAACATTCAAGTTGTTGTCCACAGAGCAGTTAAGTGGAACTATGATCTTCTAACAGGGTCTGCGTGATTCTGAGGCAATAGGCACCAAACACCAAGCAGGAAGCAAGTCAGAGAGCAGCTGACCTCGTGATTAATGCTGAGTGTGCTACAAGCTTGGTTTATTTTCATTTCTCCCTCTCCTTTCTTTCCTGATTAATTTTATAAAGTTTCCAGGGACAGTTTCAGTCTCTCCAGGGGAGAGAGATTAGGGCACCAGAAGTTAACGGTGAAATAGTCTAGATATTTGGAAGCTGCCTGTGTAAATTCCCATCTAGTGATCAAAAGTAAATACTCAGACTAACATGTTAGGGGAGGGAGGGAAATAGAAAGGAAGTCCTCACAAGCCATTCATATATGTTTTGGGGAATATCTATAAGAGTTTGGTGGTAGAATGTTAGGGAGACTTCCGTTGGCTTAAAGGAGTTTTGGATAGGATGTCTCTGGAAGTCAAAATGCAGAGAAACTTCTTTATGGGGGGAGAGGTGGGAATTTGAGAATAAGGGGATTTGAGAAGACAGCTGTTTTCTTATTAGCCTTAGGCAACGTTTAGCTGCTTGTTGGCTCCAGTCTGTAAAGGAAAAACAAGCCTACTGTCTCTCAACGGGGTGGTGCCACACCTTGGTACTTACCACTCTGCTCTTTTTCTTACCTCATGGCACATATTTTTTTCCCTCTGAAACCTCTCGTTATTCAAAGAGTTTCCCTGCCTTAGATGCCCGATTTCAGGGTGAGGGACAGGCCATGGGCGCCGGCATGCACAGGAGTCCTACCCAGCACCTCTCCTCAGGGCAACATCTCAGGGACTCTGGGGGTGAAAGATGGTTAGGTTGGACTTTGGGTGCCTGTTTAAAGGCTGTTTACAAAATTTTTGATGAATTTGATAATGTCAAATATGAGAACCCTGGCAGTAAACTTAAAATTAAAAAAATTTTTAATAAACAATTGCAATTCCTCAGACTTGCTCACATGCAAAAAAATTTAAATGCATTGAGTTAAAACATACCAGGTTAAATATACATCAAATTAATAAAGGAACAGGAATCCCAGACCCTCTTTGCTTTAGCCAATTAGGAAAAAGACTCAGAATCCGGAGCCAGGGGGTCATTGTAATTCAAGCAGCAAGGCCTGAAACTCTGACAACAGGCTGTACTGTCCTCCTGGCTGGAAAATTTTCCTGCCTTCCAAATGAGGGAGGTCCTATGAGACTGCACTGGGGCGATACTTGAACAAGATTAGAAAGGGTTGGTGGTTTAAAAAAATAAAATAATGGCCAGGCCATGCTTTTCTTTAAGCCCTGCCTGACCCCCTCCCCAATCTGGAGGAGGTGCACCCCCTCTTCTCTCTCTCTCTCTCCAGTCCACTTTCTAAATAAACTATGTTCTCCATCTAAAAACTAAATAAATAAAATAAGATATGGTAAGAAACCATATTTTTTAAAACCCACATGTATCTTTGAAACCCCTAGTGTTATTTTGCCTGATAACATAATCAATGGGAGAAAAGATTGATATCTCATTTTACTCTTATGCGACCTTTTGATAGCTTCATAAGACTTAGATTACTTTAAATGTTCTTATTTTTTGTTATTTGACTTTTATATTTTTTCTTGATGATAACGTTTTTTAAAAGGGCATCCAAAGTTTAAAGTAACAGCTGTTTTCTTGGAAAAAAAAGCTGTTTTATCTGTGATAACTGTAGTCTTTTCTCAGAACCTCCCGTTTCCTAGCAGATGAGGCTATCTTTTGCTCTGTTTAGCTATGAAGAAATGGAAGAGTTTGTAGCAACCAAGAGTAAAAGAAAGAGACAATTTTAAAATTGAACAGATTCTGATACTTCTAGTAGTATTTGTCCCAAAGCTGATAAGTATGTATTAGTTACAGTTATTTCTGTTCAAGTGACAAAAACCTAGATTAAGCAATAAAGGCAATTTATTAACTTCTTTTTTGAAATTATTTTTTCTTTTAAAGATGTGGGGTAAAATTCAGGGGTATTAACTTCTAACTAAAAAATTTGGAGGTAAATCTTTCTGGCTTCAGGCATGTCTGGATCCAACTCTTTTTCTTTCTCCAGTTCTTAGTTGTCTGTGTGTTGGCATTATTCATAGGTGTACTGTTCAGATCAAGTTTGTATCCTTATAGATTTCAATCCATAAAAAAAAAAGAAATTCCGTCTCATCAGAGGTTTGCATATAAATCTCAGGAGCAACTCTGGTCCTACCTGAATTATATGCCCAATCTTGAACAATCACATTGACCAGCAGGGTCATGTGATCACTTTGCATGGTGGAAGGCCGGTGACTGAGGCCTGGCAGGAATAGCACTCAGTGGTGTGTGTGTGTGTGTGTGTGTGTGTGTGTGTGTGTGAAGGGGGAATTGTGCTGTTATTGTGCTGTTATTAGAAGGAAGGTCAACACAAAGGCAAAAGCAACAAATGTCCACTCTAAGGCACAGCACCTTCATATATTATTTATATTCTCTGTGGATCAAGAGCTGGCAAAACTCCTTTTCCTGCGGCATGAGAATTAAAACTTTGGTCAGCTTTCTGGCTTTGGGTCCTTGTTAACTAAATGAAGATAGATTCCTAGCTGTGTTACTAAGCAGCATCGCCTCCGATAGAATGACCCCCCACTGGAAATGGCATCTGGACTGGGGGGAGCTACAGCTGACCTGTAAATACCAGAGGAGAAGCCAGGCTGTGGGCTTCTAAGTGCAGTGACTCTTGCGACTGGGCGTGTCTCTTGCAGGGTCCTGGAAAGCTGTGCCCTAGTTGTTGTTGCAAGAGATATTTGTTCCGGTGGGACCTGAACCTTCTAAGCCAGGGTGATTCCCTACCCAACCATTGTGCGGGGGGTGGGAGCAGCTCCTGGACAGCTTTGTGGACTGTGGCATAAGAGGGACGATGGACACTGACAAGCTATGGTTTATGCTGTTTGTGCCCCGCATCTTCCAAGATCGATGCCAAACGTCGCCTGTAATAATTCTATGAGCCTGATATATGAAGTTAAACCTAAAAGAACTCCCTGGTGGGTATTGAAGTCACTTTCATAATTCTGTGACACAGAATAGTTGCTTTAAGAAAGCCCTCTAGCCAAAGGTGACAGAAACCCAACCCAAACCATTTTAAGGAAAGAAAGGAACATGTTAGTTCTTTCAGTTAAAAATCCAGCCATCTGTTGGGCGTGGTGGCTCACCTTTCTAATCCCAGCTCTTGGGGGGCCAAGGGAAGAGAATCTCTTAAGCCCAGGAGTCCGAGACCAGCCTAGGCAACTCTATAACAAAATTAAAATATTTTCTGGGTGTGGTGGTGTGCACCTGTAGTGCCAGTTACTCAGGAGGCTGAGGTAGAAGAATTGCCTGAGCCCAGGAGGTCGAGACTGCTGTGAGCTGTGATAGCACCACTGCACTCCAGCCTGGGTGACAGAGTGAGACCTTGTCTCAGAAAAAAAAAAAGAAAGAAAGAAAGAAAAAGAAAAAAAAAATACAGGCACGAATGGCTTCAGGTATGTCTGAATTCAGGAGCTCAGATGATGTCAGCAGGGCTCTTTATCATTTTCTTTCTTTCTTTTCTTTTCTTTTTTTCTTTTGAGTCAGAGTCTTACTCTGTTGCCCAGGCTGGAGTGCAGTGGCTGCACCCTGCTGGGTTCAGGCAATCCTTCCACTTCAGTCTTCTAAGTAGCTGGAACTGCAGGTATGTGCCACCATGCCCGGTTAACTTTTTTATGTATGTAAAGATGAGGTCTCACCATGTTGCCCAGGCTGGTCTCGAACCCCTGGGCTCAGGCAGTCCTCTCACCTCAGCCTCCCAAAGTGCTAGGATTATTGGTGTGAGCCACTATTCCTGGCTTATCATTTTCTATATGTCAACTCTGCTTTCCCTGTGCTGGATTTATTCTTAGGCTGGGTCTCCTTATCAGGTGACAGGGAGGGCTACTGACAGCTTAGCTGGTAATTCTAGAATAAAAATAGAATGTGCCAGAAAAAAATTCATGGTTGACTTTGGTTGGCCTGGCTTGGCACATGACCAGAAAATATGTCTGCTACCATTTTTTCCACTGCAACATCTGTTTCCTCCTTTTAATTACCTCAAGTTAGAATCTGAAATGTTCCATAGATCTGCTACCATTTTCCCCCACCAAAACTCATGTTGAAATGTGGTCCCTAATGTGGATGTGTTGGGCGGTGAGGCCTAGTGAGAGGTGTTTGTGTCATGGAGGTGAATCTCTCATGAATGTCTTGGTGTACTTCTTGGTAGCGAGTTCTCATTTTGGTAAGAATGTGTTAGTTCTCACAGAAATAGAATGGATTAGTTCCTGCAAGAGTGGGTTGCTATAAAACCTCCCTGTGCTGTGACACAGTGCAAAAGCCCAGAAGTCAGTGCCATGCCCTTGAACTTTTCAGCCTGCAGAACTGTGAGCTAAATACACCTCTTTATCAATCACGCAGCCTCTTTGTTATGGCAGCACAAAACCGATGAAGACAGGTCCTTCACTTCTCTTGATGACATTTGGGCTATCACAAATACAGTCTCCACCGGCAACATGAAAGGTTGGAGAAATTCCCTCATCAGAAAATTCTGTATTTGACCTTCCCTTCAAAACAAATCAAACCTAAACACTTTTCTTCATCCATGTTCTTTTGATAATGCCTCATTTCTCCATTCCGTTTCGCATAGACATGTTTGTTGAGTTTTCCTACTGATTCTTCGTGCATGTTGGAGATAAATATATGAGGAAGGAAGGAAGGCCTAAAAAGAAGCAGTTGATAAAATGCCCTGTCTGAATGAGTCACGTGAACATGGAGCCTTGGAGAATTTCTGCTTCAAACCTTTCCATTAGTAAGGCAAGTTTTAGCGTGATGTGCAGGAGCAGGACATAGGGAGGGCACATGGCAGCTTCTCAGGAAACAACGAGGGAAGGAACTACTGAACAAATGCAGAAAGTTCATATAGCTGCTGCATCCCAAAGGCATCTTGCCATCTGACTACAATGTTGCACCTTCCTTGATGCTTGGGAAGGCCTTTTCTGAACACTATTTCTCTGCCTTCATGACACGGATTGCACACGGACCCGGAGCTCCCCATAATTTTGGGTGAAAGTCCAGAACTGGATCTTGTTTGGGGTCAGAGATGCTGTCATCTCCCTCCCTCAAGAAGGGTCTTGGATGCTATGATCTGAAGGATATCTTGGATCCTTCATCATCCTCAGACTGTTGCTTATCAAGTGTCTTGTTTGTTCACTGAGGGTTGTAATAAATGCTGGAGGTTTGTGATTGATTGTCAGAAAGGAAGAAAACCATTTCTTTTGGCAGCTGAGAGGGGCCACATTGAAATGATAGAAAAACTTATTTTCCTTAACCTGCATACTTCAGAAAAGGACAAGGTGAGTTGGACTTTCACTTCTGTGCTTAGAACAAGAGAAAAGGAGTATCTATTGGTGTGCAGATTTGGAGAAGGCATTTTGGTCATTTTGGTCAGCAGGAGAGTTATTAAAACTGTTATGATAGTTGGAGAGAATTGTGGAAGATCCGGGCAAATCCACCCACTTTTGCTGTGGATTGTCTAGACTGGCAGTTTTTGCTCCATACACGTTTGCAACGTCAGTAGGCCACGTGGATTTTCCACTGTTCACTCCCCACAGGAATGGGGAGAGAAATTCCCAAGTGGACATCCATCTCTAATATGTACATCTTTGACGGGTTTTCTTAGGAGAAATTCCTAGATGCGGAATGATGGGTCAAGGGATTAAAATCTTTTGGTATAGGATATTGCTAAAATTACCTCTCAGAAGTTTTTCACTGGTTTACCCTCACGTGGACTAAATGGAATTTCTTTTCTTGTCCCACTTTTGCTAGCAAATTGGTATAACAAAGTTAGAACAAAGATCATGGATTTTTTTTCCTCCTGGTTCAAACAACTATGTCATTTTTTAAAAAAACTTTAAAATGTATAAATTTCACTTGAAACTGCAGATAATATGGTTCACAGCCAAAACGAAAGCTTCCAGAAGCCCCATGGCAGCCCTTACTGCCATGGGAACATTCCCCGGTATGGAGATTCTACCCCGCATGTGTCTCTGTCGCAGGAGGGAAACACTGCCTTGCATCTCACTGCAAAGCACGGTCACAGTCCTGCCGTGCAAGTGCTGTGACTCAGTGGCAAGAAATAAACAAGATGAGTGAGGTTCAGTACTCAGTACAGGAGGGCGTGGGGCTTAGGTGGGGCGGGGCCAGAGGAATGGCTTTCAAGAAGAGGATGGGAGGAAAACAGAGTTGCTAGTGCCACAGCACGCAAAACGGGGTGCTCACAGACTCCTACTTTTGTCTTCAAAGTGTCCCACAGCATTTCATTTGTTCATGTATTCCTTTGCCCACCCATTCAGTCAAAAACATTTGCTTAATATGAATATGTATTCTCTGCTGGATGAAGCATGTATTTTCTTTTCTTTTTTTGAGTTGGACTCTCACTCTGTCACCCAGACTGGAGTGCAGTGGCCGCTCCTGGCCACCGCAGCCTCGACCTGCTGGGCTCCGGCGATCCTTCCGCCTCCGCCTTCCGAGTAGCTGGAACCACAGGCGCGCGCTACCACGCCCGGCTAGTTTTTTGATTTATTGTAGAGATGAGGTCTCACCAAGTTGCCCAGGCGGGTCTCGAACCCGCGGGCTCAGGCAATCCACTCACCTCAGCCTCCCAAAGCACAGGATTACAGGCTGAGCCACCGAGCCCGGCTGAAGCATGTATTCTTATTCTAGAAGCCGGCAGGGCAAGAATGGAATGCAAAAAACAATATATCCAGCAACATGCAATAGTAGGTGTCTATATAGTACCTCATGAGAACACAGAGGAGAATCTATTACAGAAATGACACTTTTCACAGAGGAGGTGATCTAGGTCTTGGCTTTTTTTCTTTTTCTTTTTTTGTCACCCAGGCTAGAGTGCAGTGGCATAATCCTGACCACTATAGCCTCAGCCTACTGGGCCCAGGTGAACCTTCTGCCTCAGCCTCCTCAGCAGTTGGGAATACAGGCATGCTCCACCATGCCCGGCTAATTTTTGTAGTTTTTATAGAGACAAGTTCTCGCTATTGCCCAGGCTGGACTCAAATTCCTGAGCTCTGAGCTCAAGTGATTCTTCTGCCTCGGCCTCCCAAAGTGCTGGGATTACAGGTGTGCCACCACACCCAGCTGTGTCTTGACATTTTGAAGGGACATTGGCAGGAGGGGTTTGAGGAGGGCACAGGTGTGCAGTATTTCACACGGAGGTAATGGCCCATGTAAAGACCCTGGGGCATGAAGGAGTGTGGTGCGTCCTGGGACTGACAAGTTCAGGGTGGCTGGGAACGCAGCAGTGGAGTGGGTCAAGGCAGACGGATAACGAAAGGCTATGCTTACCAGGATGGGCTGGCTTCGACGTGTTGCCAGCAGACACCTAGATGGGTTTTAAGCAGTGAAGATAAATAGATCCCTCTGAGGTGTGGGCAGGTAACTGCCACAGCCGTTTGGAGGGTGCATTGGTGCCGGGAGAGCCGGAAAGTGGGGAGGCCCAGGCAGACGATGGCCGAAATGGGGAAGCAGGAGCTACGGAAGACCTTCCCCGAGGCCCTCATGGGCACCCAGCAGGAGCCAGTGGTAGAAGGAGGTGGAGTCCACAGGGTTACGACCAGTGCCCAGGGAGAGGGCGGACGTCCTGATCCCAGCTCTCTGGCAGGGGCTGCTGACAGGAAATACAAGGGAGGAGCAGAGGGGAGGTGGGCACTTGGGACTTGGCAGGGTTTGGATGGAGGCATCCAAGAAGGGGGAAATCCAGCGGAGAGTGACAGGAGCCAGACGCAGAATCTGGGCTTGGTGGAGGGGCTGTGGCTGTGGAGGTGGATTTGTGGGGTATTTGCCCTGGTTGGTCACTTCTTAATCTTTGTGTCAATGCCTTTTTTTGGCTGGCTTTTTAGATGAGTAGAGTCCTCTTGGATGTTATAGTATTGGTTGACTGACTGATTGATTGAGACAGAGTCTCGCTCTGTAGCTCAGGCTGGAAAGCTTGGTCATGGCTTGGTCATAGCTCAATGTAGCCTTGAACTCCTGGGCTCAGGCAATCCTCCCGTCTTAGCCTCCTTTGCAGCTGGGATTGCAGGCATGTGCCACGATGCCTAGATTTTATATTTTGATAACTTCTAAACTTGGTGCCTTTCCAGAGAGATACTAGAAGAAGCTATATCGTAAGCATTTACTTCAAGACACCATCAGAATATTTATTCTGTGCTGCCTATTGAGAGTTTTTAGATGTTTATCTTAGATTATTTTTTACCATACATATTAAAATATAAAGTTAAAAAAAAGAGTTGAATCCTTCTAAGTCACTTTCCTATTAAGTCCTTTTTTTTTTTTTTTTTTAAGTCAGGATCTTGCTCTGTTGCCCAGGCTAGAGGGCGGTGGTGTGATCATGGCTCACCACAGTCTCTACCTCCTGACCTCAGGTGATCCTTCCACCTCAGCCTCCCAAGTAGCTGGGACTAAAAATGTGTGCCACTATGCCTGGCTAATATTTTGTTTTTTTGTAGAGATGAGGACTCAGTATATTGCTGGTCTCAAAATCTTGAGCTCAAGCAATTTTCCAGCCTTGGTCTCCCCAAATGCTAAACTCACAGTGATTAAATGTGCCTGGCCGGTTTCTGAGATTTTCTTCTAAGCCACCAATAACTATTCTGATAATGACAGTTATGTCATCCCTACTACCTGGTTGACTGAGCTAGCCCCATCACCTAATCACCGCCTAAAAGCCACCTCTTAATCTTATTGTGTTGTGGATTAAGTTTCGACATGGATTTTGGAGGAAAACAAATGCAAACACTGAAGACAGCAGAGATCAAGTCATGTAGTCACAGGATTTAAGGACCTAGTTGTGCTTGCTGTGTTCTGTTTACAACAGTACCGCTGGCATGTCTGCATGTGTGTGGATTTCATCCACCTTGTAGCTATTTTGGAGTTAAGGGCACATTGGGGGAGAATCATAAAGTCCAACAGACTTTAATTGTAGATTATGATAGGTTTCGTTGCTCAAAATAAAATACACAGTGATGACATTCTTTTTTTTTTGAAGTCTCATTCTCACCCAGGTTGGATTACAGTGGCATGATCATAGCTGCCGCAGCCTCAACCTGCTGGGCTCAGGCAATCCTTCCATTTCAGCCTTCTAGGTAGCTAGAAATACAGATACAAGCCACCACAACCAACCAGCCAAGCTGTTGATTTATTGTAGAGACGCAGCCTTGCCAAGTTGCCCAAGCTCCTGGGCAAACTCCTGGGCTCAGGCAATCCTCTTGCCTTGGCCTCCCAAAGTGCTGGGATTACAGGCATAGCCACTGCGCCCCACAATGATATTCTTTTGGATACGATTCATAATGTTCATCCAGTCACGGGCTGCCTCTGCTTCTGACACTGGCTATTGCTGGGTCTGTTGGAGGGAGTGCCTGAAGGTGGGCAGTGGTCTCCAAACATTCTTGGTAGCAAACGCATATCAGTAAAGAAAGTTTGAGCATGTTCCTGCCACATATACATTTATAGTTAAATTAATACATTGTAAAATGGGTCAGAAATATGTTTTTAAAATCTGAGATATAACGATCTTGAAGACACCACTAGCAGCACAAGTCTTTCCAAGCAGAAGAAATTCTCACCCAAGGAGGAAACAGCTAGTGATCTCAAAGAGGCAGGGAACAGAAGTGTTTCTGAGAAAAGGCGGAAATTTTCTTCCAATGCAGAGCCAGTCTTCAGTAAACCGGAAGAGGCCTCTAGCAGCAAGAGCAGCTCCAAGAAGAAAAGTTTCACAAAAGTTCCCACCCCAAGAAGATTAAAATGGACATTCCCTGGGAGGGGGGCAAGCCATGCCCTAAGGCAACAATTTTCCATCCCATGTCCTGTATCCCAATAGAAAACAAAATTCAGAAGAAAAACCGAGATAAAAGAATAAACAGAAAGAGCAGTTTTGCATTTTCTCCACATTCAAAGGATTATCTTATAGACATCTAATGTATTTTCCTTTCAGTGTCCTTTGTGCTCCTGTACAAATACTTACAGTATATTTTTAGCAGCTACCCAAAATCCATTTACCCATTCTTTAGCTCTTGGGGGTTTAATTTGCTTCAGGTTTTTTGGTTTGCTTGAGTCGGAGTCTCACTCTGTCTCCCAGGCTGGAGTACAGTAGCACAATCATGGCTGCCACAGCCTCAACCTCCCGGTCTCAGGCGACCCTTCCCTCCCAGCCTTCCAGGTAGCTAGAATTACAGATGCGCGCTACTATACCTGACTAGTTTTTTAAATTTATTGTGGAGATGAGGTCTTGCCATGTTCCCCAGGCTGGTCTCGAATCCCTGGGCTCAGGCAATCCTCTTGCCTCAGCCTCCCAAAGTGTTGGGATTACAGGCGTGCGCTACTGCGCCTGGCTTGCTTCAGCTTTTTAAAAAATTATTATTATAGGTTGTGCTCTCACAAGCCTCTTTTGTATAAACCTTAGTCTGAACTTCTGTTTCCTTTGGATATATTCTTAGAGGTAGATTGTTGGGTCAAAGATATGAGCCTTTATTAGGCTCCCGGTATACTAAAGACGTGAATTCCTTCCTTCACATTTTTTGCAATTATTTTCCCCACTGCAGTTTATGTTTTGACATCACTTTCCTGGAAAAATGAGAAGAAAGATCACGGGGAGAAATTCCTTTGTAAGCAAGTGGCTGCCCCAGGCACTTAGGTAAGGCAGCCCAGGGTACAATGTCCCTGTTCGGTGGGATGGGAGCCTTGGCTTCCCTGCTCTTGTGTTGCTGCCGACAGGATTGTCCATACCTAGTTAGTGATGAGTGAAACCTTCTGAGTTTTTCCTAATGTAGCTGCTAATCTAGAATTACAGGTACCCGCCACCACAACCAGCTAAGTTGTTGATTTATTTCAGAGAAGGGAGAAAATTATTATCCAAAGGGGGAAATAGTTCGGGATACGGAAGGAATTCTGCATTTTCTCACAATATTTTTAGGAAAGAGTCTGCATGAGGAAGGGGAAATATCCAAGTAGTTGTTGTGAGGAACCAGTTTCTCCTTTTTTTCTCTGCTTTGGCCTGAGCCAAACTCTCACGTTCTCCTACTTGTAGTTATCTGAGTTTCAGAAAACTGAAGCACTGAGATTATTTCTTAAAATTAATAT